TCCGCGCCTGAGGTCCGCCGCGTTCCAAAGTGTGCGCATGAAATCCACCTCGAACCGGAATTGAATATCGTTTGTTCGTACTTCATTTCAGGTGACCCAGATCGAGTTTCACCAGCGAGCGCCATCCGGCTGCCTGCAGTACCACCGCGAAGGCAACGGTGAGTCACCGTTCCAGTACGGGTCTCCATTTTTCTGTCTGGTTTCCCACTTAAGCCCGAACCATAACGCTCCGTGAAGTATTGTAATGAACTCTGTAGACATGAGGGACACAGGTCTGAGAGTGAATGTTCGTAAGGCGGGATGTTAAAAGCTTTGAGGCCTACAAATAAAACGAACGCTTCTTCATGTAAAGCAGCCAAATGCTTCCTAGCTTACAAATAAATTTCTTCGCAAGCATATAACTGTGAAGGGGAGAAAGGGCACTGCCGACAAGGAAAGCACCGGGGGCGATGGCTCCGAGGCACAAAAGGCTGAATGACGATAGCACGCTCTTCCCAACCTCGAGAACCTCTTCTCTCATATCCTCCTCCCTCTTCCCTTCCCTTTCCTTCCCTTCCCTTCCCTCCCCCCTTTACCCCACCTCTGAAAATGCCACGCCGTCGCTGTGTCCACTCTCCCCCCGTCTTCGCAAAGGCCTGAAGTGTTTACCTAGAAATTTTCGCTGCCACTGCGGCAAACATGATGCAGTGCATCAAACTAAAGATGTAAAAACAACTTTTCAACACGAACGTTTTATTTCCCCCCTTAGAACTCAAAACTTACTGTCAAAAAGCGTTTACCATCCACTCCTCCCTCCTTCCCTTCCAATTCCAAGTACGTCTACTGGGTGTCTCAGAGATTACGCTTCAATGTTGCGGGTTTGCGAGAAATCTTTTCACAGATGACGAAAAAATCCGTGATAAGATTGGTTGTAAAAATAATTAGCCATAACATTCTCATTTTCATCACAATTATTGTTTACAGTGCGGTTAAACCGGCAAGACCAAGCCATGTTAACTGATAACTGATGTAACTCTAGTACATATTCTTTTTCTACCTTAGGCGTGATTCAAACAATGAACTTCGCGGAGAACGGCCGACACCTCGCCAACCAAGACTACACCATTTGTATGCGCCAGGCTGAAGGTAGGTCAGGGGTCAGGTAGAGACCCGTGGGTCTGACATGAGGCGCATGAGGCGTAAGCCGGCGCCTACAGTCAGGAAGAGCAACAACTCCGTAAACTGAAACTGTTAGTTAAATGAAACGCTTGACACGACGTTTATTGCAGGCATGTGCTCTATCGTCTATGAGCCCTGCGACGAAAACTCGTTCAAGATTGGCCCGGCCATACAGCAGCTTGGTAAGCAGTCGTCCTCTAAGGCAGACGCGCAGAGCAGACACGGTCATGCATTATATTACCCCGCTAACAACAATCATTTCCAGACGACGCGGGAGGCTCGGGTGACAGCGCCATCGGTGAAGCGAGGGAGCAGTGCAACGACAAGATCGTCATGCCCTGTGACTCGGAGGAGTTTCTGGCCGTGAGTGCACGCGAAGCGTCAGTTGATAATTATTGAAACCTTTCGTAATGCTACATGCTAGATTACTTCCGGTTAATGGCTCGCTGCCCTATGTTAAACCAAGTATTGTGCAACTGCTTAAAACTTGTACGTGTGCAAGTGCAAGGTTAATACACTTTTTGCTGTGACCAATTTTATTAATAAGTCACCGCAAAAACGTTTTCTGGTGGTAAATCAAAACGTTTGCTACAGCAGTTTAAATTTCGCTGATGTTTGAAGAAGTTAGCTGAAACAGAAATGAAAAATAGCACACCATTTTTTACGATGTCTTTTTGCGTGCACTGGAAAACAAAGGTACTAAACAACACCTTTCCTGGGGCACTAAAGTCAAGGGCGCAGTTTAGTGCCTTTCCTGAGGCACTAAAGTTTCGTGCCTTTCCAAAGGTACTAAACTTGTATGGAACTCATATGAAGCTAGCCAGTTAAAGGTGTGAAAAGTCAAATTTAGTGCCTTTTAAAGGTAGGGATTCGCACCTCTGTTTTTCCAGTGTGTACTGTGTCACGTTTGTTAACTTGTGTTCGTCTATGCGTCCTGTCCTTGCGATAACGTTGGGCGGTATTGATAGTATTTCGCTTGAACGATACCGCTTGGATGACCATAGGGCCCTGTGTGAGTAATGGACATGTTCGCAGGCAGAAGGTTTCAGTCCCTCGGGTTTGTGCGACCTTCTCCACTGCGGCAACTCGTTCTGCAGCCCAGGAGAGACTACGTGCAGAATAGAGAGTAAGTGCTTTCACTGTAAAAGAATTAGTTGTCACTTCACAATTTTTCCCCTCATAATCTCGCTTCTGAGGAGATTCTCAAAATCTGAGGCGAGATCGGAGGGAGTTTTCCGATGTCGGAGTTCCTCAAAAATTGCCCCCTTTCCTCAAAAAATGAGACATTGTTTTTACCGTGTGACCGAAACCACTTCAATTTCACTTTACTACTTAAACTTTTTCCCAGGTTTTGTAACTACAATTTAATGGTTTGTAGTCTACAATGCAGCCGAAGCCTTTAAAAGTTACAAATAAACCCCTGAAATGCATTACTTTGCAAGAATTTAACAGTGCGTGGCGCGGCCCTGTCCAGTTGTGTTAACACCATCGCAACTAGAACCGCATTCCCCTGTCCTTCGAGTTTGCGCTCCCACCGGCGCGAGCCCCTGAGAGCGGACGGGCCACCGCGTCGCCCGCTCTACACGGGTGCTCGGCGGGCTAGCCTACCCAGCGCGTTGCAGGCGCTTGTAATGGCATGATGCGAAAGTACTCTACTCTAAAATGTGTGCGACTGACATACGGTAGTGTTCGACTCTGTGACACTTTTGGACGGACGTTTGAATACTTTAAAAGCTTTTACAGTAAATTTAGACCCATTTAAAGTGCCCTTGACCAACCCTTAAGTTCACGGCTTTCACTTCATAAACAGTAATCTCCTTCGTTTTCAGGCAGCACGACGCCGTTCAACATCCGGGTCATGTTTGGTCCTGCCGTACGCGAGGAGTCACCAGAAGACAACCTCGGGATGTGTCTTAAGTACGAACAGCAACCGTGTGTATCGTGACGGCCCGACGGTGCGTCGTCAGAGATGATTTATTTATTTTAAAATTTTGAGAGTGCTCAGGCAAGCTCTTTTGGCTGTGTAGCTTTGTGAACAAAGTGTCTGTCATTGCAAATATTATTTTCAATAATTTATTTCTTGTAACCGTGGTTTCCTCGCCCCACCCACTACCACCATTCACCATCGTGGACAAGAGAAGATGACAACGGAATAACACAACTGTTTTTCAGTCGGACCAAGTCGGGAATAAAACCCTTATCCTGTTCCATTAGTTTTATTAACATAGTTTGAACAGAAATGAACATAGTAGCAGTAGGATCTTCATGGTTCACAGCGCTTAAAAGCTTTAGAGCCGGATGAAGTATAGTCTCGGACAGAAAATGCCACAGCTTTTTGAAAGAAAATGATAAATATTTTCAACTCGTTCATAATTCAACATTCAGCCTGAACCCCAACAATCCCTATTTCCTTACGTTTCAGCATCCCTACGTCTTTTGGTAGAAAAAGATTCTCTCCATTGGTCCCTTGACTATACTTGTTAGATGATATTTCGTAGTGCTTACAATATTTACACGATGCTTGCCATGGAACAGAAAGTTAATCAACAACACGTAAAATGTGAACGAATAACAATTCGGAGTTTGCTCATGGAAAAGTATAAAACAGACGAAACAACAAGAACGGACATCAGGTTAATAACATGTGACATGCTAGCTGCTAGCTGTCATGGCTTTTTTTAGTACGAGAGGCCCAGTTTGTGGCTTTATCAGCTTAAGGATCTTAACATCTTAACATCTTAACATGTTAACATATTAACAAGTGCATTTTGCATTATATTCGATAGTAAGACTATGGTTTTACATTTGAATGTCTTTATATTCGCTAAAATGCCGACCAAAACGTTCGGGATCGCTACAACGACCAATAGAATCATGATTCGTGGTTTCCGTGAAAGTTGTGTTAAGATCCCGCGAAACAACGGATCTCTGCTTTTCATCGAACTGAAGCGATGGCAAAGCTTTCTAAATGTTCCGGTCGGCACTTTTTACCAATTTAAACACATTCTTAACTAAAAATCATTGCCATAGTGCTAAATATAATAAAAATGCATCTGTTAATATGTTAAGATGTTAAGATCCTTAAGCTGATAAAGCCTGTAGTTCAACGACTGAAAGCACCGTGATCGCCCTTTCTTTTGTCTGAATCCGTTTAGATTAAATTTATTTATGGCGCCGTTTAAATAATCGTAAACCTCAAAATCAATTCACAACAGATGAGCTTGTCTGCCAACGCGTTTCCTAGCCCATTAATAAAAGGGATATTACCTATCCAGCCCTTTCTCTTTCGAAACAAAAATTACAAACATAATCACTTCAGCAAAGTCTATATTTTTGATTTGTAGAAATTTACAAATACAAGCAGAAAAAATATCCTGGGGACAGTATGTGAAACATTGCTTCATTTACGTGGTTGTATGATCTGTACACAGCCACACTGCGTGTCTAACGTGCAATGATTTGGTCAGCAGCCCCTGTAGAACTTAGCTACGCCGAAATGCGTAGTATACATTTGCGTCGCAATATACGATATTGAAGCCTAAACTTTCGATACAGTGAAACTTTAATTTGCGTTGGTCGAGACAATATCTCTTTGAACATTTCTGAAAAAACATTTACAGAGCAAGGGTTCTGTTTGCTCCGAGAAAGCTTATAGAAAAAGTATGAAACGTAACTTTCTACACAAGTATAACAACCATTCGGAACGCTTCACACATCCTTTATGTTCTGTTTTTTCTAATATGAAGTATGTGTTATAAAACAGCATAAGTATCCCAAATATTTAAGAGAATTACAGTACATCTGATTGGACAGGTTAGTCTTGTAGAAAATATTTATTATTTTTCTTCGGCAAAAACGATATCATCGGGAGGTGAACGGCAAGTTTTTAGAATCAGCGACGCACTTATTAGATGCCTGCACAAGCTCTTAGTTTTATTTGAGTTCTCTTCGTCGAAAAAATTAAAGGAGCGATGCAATGACGCGGAGATTACAACGAAAAATGTTGATAGGATGATTAAAGCACGCAACTGCGGAGGCATATTATACCCATATTGCTTGGAGCATAAGACAAAAGGTCAAGTAGTATTTTAGAGACTATGCATAATAATATGCGATTGAGCAATGATACCCCAAAGTTAAATGGTACAGTACAATCAAAAGATGCAAATCGCCTTGCAGTGTCATCAAAGATGTTTGGTGGAGCACCCTTTAGTAGAAGTATGTAAAGGAACAAAATATGTGGCTAGATAAATACCGACTTAACTAAACAATGAAAATTTTGTTCAGTTTGTCATCCAAACTCTCCAAGACACGTTTTCCCGCGATAGACCGCATGACTATGGAAGACTGGACTTTGATGCGGCGCATTGGTACGTGAAGCGAAGACCTTTCCACAAGCGGGAAAAGTTAAGATATTGATGCAACCTCCATAACAGACCCAAAGACTATAATTTTGATCTGGAGGTATCTCCCTCGTCAGCAGACAATTGAAATCTATGTGGCGCAATTTGAGGAAGAATACATGGAATTATGAATGAATGTAGAATCCTGAAATCCTTGTAACATAACAAAAATAATCACGCTACAAATGAGTCCCCTTAACCATTATCGTTATTAAAAGAGATATATCATTTCGATATAAAGCGTGTTTAATAGGCTAATGTGATAGAAAGTGAGAAATGAGGTGACTGTGGCCGGATTTGGCTCCGAGTGTCTGATATGGTAGCTGCCCAGGGAAAACGGCCCCGGAATTACTTTTGGAACATTAGCTTTTTTAAGGTCAAGAAAGTTTGCTGCTTGTTGCAATCCTTGTTCAAGGAAAACGCTGTACTTATTCAGGTCAAATGCATTAGCTCTACTAAATAACCAGATAAATCACAGCTCAATAAAAGTATAAAAACAAGCACCTGGTGTAAGCGGTTGATTAGATAATCACAGGGTAACCCAAAGATAACGTCGGAGGACGGTATGAGGCAAATATCAGCGAGGATATTGGATACATATCCGCGCACACGCGCCGGTGATTCATTGGTACTGCACGTACAAAGAGCTATGCACGAAGTAATGTCATTTTATGAAAATATTTGTTATTTTAAAACATTTCCCCGACACTTTTTCCATAGGCCTACGGCGTAAATGCTACTAATAATTCCTACATAATAACTAGACTTTCCTTTTAGCACAGAATCTGAAACTTTTCGAAAGCGCAGCGCATAACGGAGAGTGGTGCATTAAGTACATAAGTTAGATACTTGTAAACGGAAGGATGAGATAATCGTCCTTTGTGTTCAGGTACTCAGAGCCAACCCCACAGAGTTGATGATCGTGTTAACAGTGCGATCGATAGTGTTACATAAATATAAAAGTGATGATATAGACAGGTTTACAGTTTGAATGAAAAGAAAATTGAAGAAGCCTATTTAAAACTCTGATGATGCCTGTCAAATGTCACGGTCAGCGTACTAATTCAAACATTTCTTTGTCCCTGAATATTAACATAAGAATAGAAATTTAGAATGCCGACTTTTAGAAAATGTTTATAGAATAAAATACTATAAAGACTTCCATTTTCACCGATATTGTCCGTGGGTGAACGCCAGGGCTTTGCAAAGTGGCCAGCTTTTATGCGCAAAGCGCGAAAGCTATACTTGGGCTGTTCGTCGAATAGAAAAACTCGTCGAAATTTCGGCCAATCTGGCGACTTTGCACACACCCCTGGGGTAAGACTTATACATAGCAGCAGCCAAGCATTGTGACCACTTCCACGTGCCCTCGTGGTCGCTTCGTGATGATATGTGTCACACCCTACTCTTCTAAAAATAAAAAAAAATCGGAAGAGAACTGATGATCGGGAAAAACGTTAGAGCACTGTTGTCCACATTTTCTCTTCTTTTCTTTCTTCTTGAAATATCACAAAAATTGCCACTAGAAATAGAGGTTTTTGTATTGTTTCTCACGAACACCTACAGCGTCCGTTCCCCGTCACTCTCTCGGGAGAGCCCCACACCCAACAAGGAGTCCAGTCTCCACTCCCGAGACACTACGATCTGGGACGCGCCGCACTCCACACACAACAAAGTACACACGTCTTGTTGTGTTTTCGCTGGGGGGTGTTGTCGCACACTTCCCGCCCGTCTTGGTCCAGTCCGCCACGCTCGTCAGACGTCACAGCCGTCGTCTAGAGTGCCTGCCGCGTTGCAGCGCCGCGCACCTGGAACACAAGACACTGGTTTTACTTTCATACAGTCACATCTAGAAAGCTAAGGCACGATTTTTCATGGACACTTTGCTGCCCATGGTAGAGCAATTTAAAAATAGTGGCCACAACACACAAAAAAGAAAACGTACATAAAAAATGACCACCAAAGTCTACACAAGAACACATTAAACACGAACACAAATTATATAAAATATGTCGAGGCTACACTAAACAGCTCCAAACACCGATAGCGGAGGGTTTTACCAAACTGTTTCACATGCTGTAGTGCGAGATGTCGTGCATCAAGACGTTTATGGCCAGGGCCGGAATCGTGGTGACAGGGCACCTGCAACTTGTTGGGTAGGCGACCGTGTCAAGCACCTAGAGAGCACTGCTTTGGCTCAGCTCATGCCATGAACACGGCACTCATTGTCTTTTACATGCAAATTAAATAAACAACAATATCCAAATAAAATTCACACACTCCATTCCAAAACACACCATGACACACCACGCATACTTGTAGCTGCGCGCTTAAAGCCAAAAAGCGCTTGCATGGTTTGAGTAGCACCTCCAGTTTAGTATCAATTTTGAAGGAAACAGTATGGCCCCAAGATACGTTTTGAGCGGTTCCACGACTTATTTTATTTTTTGACAGACTATGTTAGATCATATTCTCGATAATTTTTTAACAGATAGGCATGTAAAAGTAGAAGACAAGATTTAAGTGCCCCAAGGCGTCTCTCATGTAATAGTTATAGATTTTCACATTAAGTTAAAACAAACGAAAATGAGCACTTAAGATTAACGAGAGACGCCTTCTAGGACAGACGAATGACATACGCAATTCGGGCCACATCGGCGAGCCAAACTCGCGCAGCTCTACTGTTAGGTCAGATCACCCGGGTCACCCACTCCCGATTTGGTGCCGTTGTTTCTCAGGCTCGCGTTATGGCGCTCGTGCTCTGCAACAAACACAGGCCAAAAGCACAGCGTTAGCGTAGCACTACATGGCGAAAAGGCGAGAAGCTTAGTTCCACTCCATGGGACAGCATTGCACGAAAAGCACTCAAGTGGCCGTGGCGACTAAGATCACACACAAAAGCAGCTCGTTTGATTTGTTTGCTAGTACTTTTTTGTTGTTGTCTTTTGCTGTTGCAGAATGCTGAAGCGAATCTATAGCATTCGCCATGTGTTCACTCGTGCACAGAAATAATGAGAAAATATAAATTGACTAGTTCCCACACATGCCCTTCATTCCACCGCCCAACAAAAAGAGAAGAAAACAGATCCCTCTTGGTCTACATTGTGTTGTATCCCAAACAATCATTTCAGGTGTTACACAAGCTGGAAACTTTGTTGTTCGGTTGTCTAGTATAGTGCCTGGCCGAGTCTGAGATCCACCGAACACGTTTAATGGAAATATTGTACGTAGGTGACATTTTGTTTGATGTCCTTGGACGGTTTCAAATCCGATGACTTGATGAGGCTAAGTAGGACCATGCCCATGCCCATGCCGGGTCGGGCTCATGTCGCCTGGTTCCCGATTTTGTTTGTGTTTTACATTCCAGACAACAGTTAGGTAAAAAAAAATCCTCCTAGAAAGGGACTTCCTTACCAAACACCAGCATATGCACGAAAAAATAAAGCTGTATCATAGCTTAATGTTAGCTATAGCTTTAGTAAACTTCATCTGGTCCAGCAGAACTTATGATGTAGTAGCCACATTAGCTGAGAGCCACATCACCCGAAAGAGCTAACGCGTTTTCTACGACAGCTGATGGACATATTTCCACGAAAGGTAGCCAAGCAAATTTCACACAGCTACAATTCGCTGTCACAGATTTAAAAGTTTGCTGGGTACAACCTATTTGATAAATAGGGTAAGCCAGCCATTTTTCAAACGTCAACCTTCGTATCAAGAATCTACCTTTTCATCACATGGAGAATTTCTCTGCTGTCATAATACGAACAAAGCTCGTTCGTAGTACGAAGATTTTTTTAAATAATACGACCGATTTGGGGGCAAGATGTTACCGATAAACCAGCAGTCCTTAAATAAGTTGCGTATCCCATATGCGTTTGCAATAGGAAAGAACTTCTTCATGCAGCGTGGTCCACAGACCCCTTCCTTTGTTTTCCTTATACTGTACCGGATGCAGGCTTCCGGGTGGATTGCATACTCACACGGAGCCATGAGGCGCCTTGACGAGCGACAATAGGCAAGCCCGCCAACACGTCTGCATGCGGTGATGCGGTACAGTATAAGAAAAACAAAGGAAGAGGTCTGAAGACCACCCTGCATTACTAACGATAAGATTCGTATACGAACAACCATTGTTCGTATCATGACAGTACTAAAATTCTTATTACTACTGAAAAAAGAATTATAATACGATGGGTCGACGTTCTTAATACACACGCGCTCTCTTGGAAAGATTTTTAGCGAGTATAGGTCGATTTTTTCGTAACATGTCACTGCCACATACACAAAGGCCCACAGATGCAGAGAGCAACGTTATAGTTGTCGCGTTTGTTACCTGAGGTCTATTCAGTAAAACGAAAGTACGAACACAGAAAGCACAGTTCAAGCAAATCTTAACGTTCCCGCCAAAGGCAAAATTAAAGTATAAAAGATCTTGGCTGCTAAAGTGTTCTATGCAAACTCCTCGATCTACACAAACACGGAGAGAGAAAACATTTACAATGTCATTTCTCTTGTTTTCAAAGCCGTCCACGCAGCTTGTGGTTCACTTGCGACACATCCAGCATGGGCACATGCTCCTCGGCCGCGTAAGGGTCTGTCGCCAAAAAACAGAGAAAAACAGAGTGAGCGTCAGAGGAAGAAAGGAGCAAGCAGGGAGTTCGGTGAAAGGTCGCAGGGTTAAAAGTTAAAATAATTTAATAGCACGACTAAAAAGTAAAATGACCGCAAAACGTGAATAACAAAATCCATCGACCGATTGCCGAACTCCCGTATATTAGCAGAGGGCAGAGGTGCATGCGTATTGCTTACATCGAAAGAACAATTTATTTTGCTGCTGAAGTTTTAGAGCAAGGGGTTTCTACTGGCTGGTTTAGTTTAGAAGCAAAGGGAGGCAAATAAAACGTATTTTGAAGATTGTGACACATCTGGTAATATTAGCATGGGTTAGGAAATGAGAGGTTAGATAATCGCATCATAATCCTAATTATGACTGGAACAGTAATTTAAGAAGGACATGCACTAGTCTAGGGCCATGCAATACTTAGTGATGATAGTACGAAGTACCCAATGCTGAACGTTTTTATAAAACCTTATGCCACTGTGTTGAATGTTAACATTATCAGCTCCGTACGAACGTCCTCTGCTGTTACCTGACCTGACCCAAGATCGAGAACTCACCCATCATACCGCCCATGGCATCCTTGGGGTGGTTGCTCTTGATGGCGTTCATTCTTCTGTTTTGCGCCGGAGGACCCCCCATGGGGTCACCGCCACCCCTGCCCCCGGGGCCCCCGGGGCCTCCACCCCCGCCGAGCCCCCCGCCGCCGCCCGGACAGCCCGGGCCACCGGGCTGCCCCGGCTGGCCAGGTCGGACAGGCAGTCGTATAGGCTCCACGGCCAGGACCCGTCTCCGCTTCTTGGGGAGCTTCGCTCGCGCCTGTAACGAGTACACCAAGCCTTGATCAGCTTCACGACCACAAATACATAGTTTAACACCTCGAATCCTAAAACAATATGGAGGGGTGGCGTGCAAAGCAAGGACACCGCCTCCCCACGTAAGAGGAGGTGTCCACCCGGCGACCGCCGTGCGGGGCGGGTGAAGACGTACCTGCGTGTGCGAGTAGTACATGGCGAAGTTGGACACGATGACGGGCACGGGGAGGGCGATGGTAAGCACACCGGCTAAGGCGCACAGCGCACCCACGAACATGCCTACGTAGGTCTTGGGGGCCATGTCCCCGTAGCCTACCGTGGTCATGGTGACCAGCGCCCACCACAGGCCCAGTGGTATGCTGAGGGCACAAACACGAGAGCGGTGAGACGTTCTGCTCTGTTTGACAAGAGGTCACAGCAATGACGACCCACCTGTTGAAGTCGTTGTGCGGGTTCGCCTGTATCCGCTCCGCGTAGTAGACGAGGCTGGCGAAGATGACGATACCCAGGACGAGGAAGAACACGAGCAAGGTGAGCTCCTTGGCCGAGGCGCGGAACGTCTGGATCAGGATCTTGAGGCCAGACGAGTGTCGCGTGAGCTTGAACAGTCGCATGATGCGGATGATGGAGAAGAACTCGAGGATGTCGGCGTTCTCCAGGTGCGACGCGAACTTCTGCAGGACCTGTAGACACCAAGGCAAACGTTACGCCAAACGTCTACGGAGCCACGTTGAACGGAAGAGCAGAGAGTCCCCCAGAGTGACTGAGATGATAAGATGGCGCACATCCAGAGCGCAGCATTAAGTTAGGACCAGGGCCCCCAGCTGAAAATTCCGCCGGAAATTATTCCATGGAGTTCAAATCCCTTGAGTAATTTGGTTACATCCATGTAAAATTTTCCCTGGAACAGTGATTCCACGGGAAAGCATTGTTCGATGGAAATGGATTCCATGGAAATAATATGGCATCGGTTGTGGTCCCTGGAAATTTCTTCCATGGAAATAGCATATCGCACTTAGGTTTTGGCGACACATGATTATTTTTTTGCTTGTGATTGCACGGAGATCCAGATCAATGAACACAGCACATTATTGGTAGCTTACATTCGACCAAAGACCAAAGAACATAAAGAATCAATAATTTTGAAACAAAATACCGTACCGCGGTAGCATGCTAAGGTTATGTTTGAGGTTAAGTGCTACGGGTCTCTGCGAAAATCTGTTTATTCTGCTTTTCAAAACCGTGCTCCGACTTTTACTTACTGGGTAGATTAATGCCGACGATATCAAAGAAACCATCGATATCCTCAATCCTCATGGGCAGTCCTCACAAGAATATACAAACAAATGTAACGAAACTTCATTCCACGAGTTGCGCGCGTCGGCCAGCGGCAGCAGCAACGAGCGGGAGGGCTCTGTTACAGGTTAGGTAGGTCGGCTCACCGCCACCACCAGCTCAGGCGAAGTGACAGTCTTTGTTTCGCTAGTAAAATCATCTGGTTCGGGGGGCCAGACGTAAAAAAATGTCGATCTTTGGCATGTGCACTATGTTCCGACTATGTAAGTAAAAGTTAGACATTCTGTAGGAAAAAAATAATCTGGAACGACGACAGATCTAATTACGAGGACTCGTTTTTAATAACGTAATCACATAACTTTTAAAGCAACAGTCTCGGTTTTTTATCCCAACTTCCTAATTTCCCAATTTTTAACTCATTTCCCTCATTTCCTTTTTTGATTAGTTCAATAGTCTAGTTTGATATGAGAAAGCGATGATTCTTTTCTCCAAGCATGTGCATTTGAAACAGTGAAGTTATGAATTTCCATGGAAGTTGAGATGGTTTCCGCCCAACAGTGCTTTGCGTACAAGGATGGGGTTTCCAAGGAATTTCCTGCATTTCCACGGAATTTCCATGAAACTTAGACGTTGCGTGGAAATTGCCACCACTCAGTGGAATGCGTTTCCTCCATGGAAGGAATCTCCTTGGAACATGTGTTCCGTGTAACATTACGAATCCCCGGAAAGTGAATATCCGCGGAAAGTGATTCCGAGGGCAACTAGAATTTTCCATGGGATTAAAAAAAATTCCGAGGAAAACGAATATTATCCAGGTAACGTCGAGAATTTCCGTGGGATCGTCATTTCCGGCGGAAAAATGGAAAAACCCGTAGAAAATCGCGAATTTCCACCGGAAAGTGCCAAATTTCCGGCGGGATTTTCAGCTGGGCCGGGGGCCCGGCCGCCTGCCGGAGGGGCTGCGGGAGCGGAGGGAGCAGGTTGAGTAGACCACCGCTGTGGTCTCGTCTCGAGGCCCGAGCTGAGGCGGGCCGGCGGGCCGGCGGGCCGGGGCAGCCAGGTGGGGCAAACACTCAGCGCAGCACAAGAGAGCACTTTATAACTTCATCGACTTGCCGGGATAAAGAACGGCAGTCCGGAGGTCAGGGCGCAGAAGCACGCCTAGGCGTGGCAGGAGTGACGTGGGGCAAGAGGAAAAGGGGGGGGGGGAAGGGCGAGAGAACCCCGGCACGCTGTTACCTTTAGCTCGTGGACCATCCCTTCTTGCTTTCGGCTTGCTTACCAAGTCGATGTAGAAGCTGAGCGTGGCGATGTAATCGATGATGTTGACGGAGGCCTTGATGAAGTTGCACTTGTTGGGCGAGGCGACAAACCTCGACACGATCTCCACGGTGAACCACGCGTTGCAGACGCACTCAATGTAGAAGAAGGCCTCGTGCGCGTTGGTCTGCGTCTTGTCCAGCGTCCACGCCGTCATGTTGGCGGCCGTCTTGACGGTGATGTTCCGAATGACGGGCACCCTCATGTCCGGGTGCGTCTTGAGGCAGAAGGACAGGATGGATATGCAGATGAAGAAGACGGACGCCACGCCCACGATCTGCAACGATAAGGAGGAAAAAGTTAGCAAAGTTTGGCTGAGACAGTCCTATCGCGATTCGCTTGTCGTGTAATCATATCTAGCACGCGAGAGAACGGCACTCCATGGACAATCGCCGTGTTTCAGCGTTTCATGGTAAATGGACGTGAGCTCCGGCATTGCTCCGGCTCTGCCCGGCGGCGCTTACACGGCGCTCACCGACATCGTCGCTCCTCTCTAATCTCTCCTTCTTCATCTTCGCCGCGCCATCAGCCCGCCCCGCTCCCCCCGCCCTCTACCGATAGCGTAATGCTCTCCGAACGGTGTTTAACCGCACTCCCTGCAAGAGGGGCCGATCGTATCGGCCGAGGAGCTCTCAACGCTCACTTTTTCTCATCCTGCCCGCCGACCCCAACCCCAACCGCCTAGAAGCATTCTCTTTTTCTCTCAGCCCCTCTGCCAGCCGCTGCCATCAGAACGTCGGCTGTGTTTCTTTCAACCGCTTCGCTTTAGAGCTGCTGGGCAGTCAGCAGTATTTTAATCATGCTGCGCTATGCGCTCCTCCGCCGCTTGCTTTACCTTTGCCGCGTTGGATGAGTAGGGCTCGTCGAAGAGGGACCACAACTTGGGCTTCTGGCGCTGCCACCAGGATAGCGTGCCCTGGAAGTAGTCCTCTTCGAAGCCGAACTTCCTCGCCATCTCCTCGTCCGACGGCTTCTCTGTGTCCAGGTCCAGCCGGTCCAGCACTGCCAGGGTTTCCTGCGTGTCTCGATGCTACAGGAAAAAAACAGAGTTTTATACATTATAAATTACGGGGCGATATTATTTCCCTCATTTTGTTTCTTAACGATCCAGGGCGAGAAAGGGTGGTAGTTGGTGTCGGTTTGCGCCGTGAGCCGCATGCGGGCCGTGTTTCCGCTGGATGGCGAACGGTGTACTCCCGCTCTGCTCCAGAGAGAGCACTAGAAGAGAAGGGAGAAGCAGAGGGAGAGAAAGAAAAGGGAGGGGGGTGGTGTGAGTGCGTCTGGACTTGGGGAGCTGGTAAGTAATATTGGATAGCTGTAAGAAAAGGGGGGGGGGGGGGTCCCTGCAGGTCGCTATGGGGCCGCTGGGCGCCTGTTGAGGGAGGAATGTGACATGGACCCGGCCCCACTCTGCTGGGAATAGGGGGCGGTCTACGGGATGGGGGAGCTGGGTGGGAGGCGGGGGGAGGCATTGACGCGTATGGTTGGGGGAAGAGTTCCGGGGCGGAGGGAGGAGGAGGAGCTGGCGTGGTGAGGGAGTGGGGGTCAGAAGGCCGGATGTTGACTGTTTGCAGAGTACACATCGCCTCGCCTCTCGCCGTCACACTCTGGAACCTTTCCGTTCTCCGACTGTGTCGTGTCTAACTGGATAGACCACCCACCCACCACCACTCACCCCAGCTGGCATGGGGGCAGCCGCAACGCTGGAGCGTCTTCTTCATCCTGCTCTGCTGTGTCTCTTTTTCCCACCCACCCACAGCCTCCGTCTTCTTCCCGTCTGTCTGTCTGCCTGTCTGTGTGTCTGTCTGTCTGTGTGTCTGTCTGTGTGTCGGTCTGTGTGTCTGTCTGTGTGTCTGTCTGTGTGTCTGTCTGTGTGTCTGTCTGTGTGTCTGTCTGTGTGTCTGTCTGGTATGTAGTGCAGCGGGGCTTTTAGTCATAGTGGACAGAAATAAGATGAACAATCTGTATGTCTTACCTGTGTGTATGTCATCCAGCAGCAAGGCTCCACCTGGTTGGCGTCCAGACCCCAAAACTCGAGTTCCTCTTCGAACAGCGGGCCGCACACGTCGGTCGGGTAGTGCAGCTTCCCCGTCCTGAGCATAAAACGTGATCATCATATTGCTTTCCTCATCCTTTTGAAACCTACTCCCCCTCTATGCAGAGTGAAGAGGCGGGGCCAGGGGGCGGCGGGGCCGCCTCCGGGGGCGCAGCGCGCAGCGGCGGAGCGCAGGCGGAGCGCAGAGCCAGCTGGATTAACTCTGAACGTCCCCTCATCCCTCATAGCCTCCGTCAAATCCTCCGTCTCTGCCGCCCCGTCGGCCGCCCGCCCGCCGACATCCTCTCGCCGTCCCTGTCTGGGCCCGGAGCCCCCGGCACACAAAGTCCCTGCGCATCCAGCAGCGCGACGGAGACCGGCCGCTCCACCTTGGAGGCGTCCCGGCCGCAATCCCAGGGGCACTTTGCACTCCCCTGGGAACACCCGCCAGCCGGACGGGGCGGGGCGGGGCCAGGCGGGGAGGGGAGGGG